GGTGGCCGTGCTTCCCCCGGCCCATGGAGCTGACGTGGTTCTTGATGTACTCTTCCCTCTTGCGGATGGACTCTTGGTCTGTCTCCTTGAGAAGACCGTGGCAGAGCTTGATATCGGCGATGAGAGAGTCGCAACGGGTCTTTGTGAAATCCTCACGGACAACGACACGGAGCATCTTGACACCCGAGTTGGGAGCCATGGTGTAGGCGGGCACGACCCATCCTCGGGAGCGGAGGTGGTGAGCGAGAGCGAACTCGTCGTAGTAACGGTCGGGATCGCCGCCCTCCTCTGTGGTTCGGAAGCGGAACGCCACGAGAGGAAGGCCAGCACCTGAACGTTCTGACATGATGACGAAGCCGAGGTTCTCGAGCGTCTCGGTCAGGTAGTCGGCAGTTCGGGTCAGATTGCTCATGATGGCGCGGTAACCGTGCTTACCCAGACGGATGAGCTGGTAGTACTGGCCAATGACCTGTGAAGCACCCTTGGAGAAGTTGAGGGTAAATGAGGATTGGTCGGCACCAAGGTAGTTGATGTTGAAGACGAGTTCTTGAGGGAGATACTCAGGAGATCGCCAGATGACCCAACCGACACCGGGGTAGACGAGACCGTACTTGTGGCCAGAGACGTTGATGGAAATGACCTTTTCACATCGGAAGTCCCACTCAAGATCGGGGACGACAAAGGGGGCGACGAAGCCACCGCTAGCAGCATCGACGTGGATAGGGACGTCCATGTTCCGCTCAACGAGGAGGTCATTGATGGCCTTGATATCCTCGTACTCACCAGTGTAAGTGGTACCGAGGATACAGCACATGCCGATAGTGTTTTCATCACACAGATCAACAGCCTCATCAGGGTCCATGACGAAGCGCTCAGGCGTGCAGTAGACAAGTTTCTCCTCAATCTCAAAGTATCGAGTGGCCTTTTCCCAGCAGACCTGGACGGCAGAAGACATGACAATGTTGGGATGCTCGGTGCTCTTGCCCTCGGCGATTCTGCGGTTCTTCCAGCGCTTCTTCATGGCCAAGACGCCCAGCATGATGGCTTCTGAAGAACCGACTGTAGATGTGCCGACAGATGTACCTGGGGGAGCGTGGAAGAGGTCACCAATCATGTTGACACATCGGTTCTGAATATCGGCTGACTGAGGGTACTCCTCATAGTCGATAAAGTTCTTGGAGAAGGACTCTGACATGAGTTTTTCAGCTTCATCTTCCTGTAAGTGCGTGTGTTAGCGAGCTATGCAGTGACGTTTGTGATGGTGGAGTTGTGGCTTGCGTCTTCCCCCCAGAGCCAAGAGAGCCAAGACGTGGGACCGGCTCCCGCGGGCGAGTGGGGGAACACATGCATTGGCGTGAGACGGGAGCTGTGCTAGCACGGAAGAGAGAAGCCGAAGGGGAGTAAACGTACCATGTAAGTGGTGACGAAAGAAGCGAGGCTTTATTACCAAGTTAGTTATTCAGCTGTGACAAAAGACCTGCAGGTTGTGCTTACTTGAGCATGGGGTTGTTGTCGAGGCTCAGATCGTCCTTGATCATGCGATACGCGATATCGCGGGGCATCTCGCACTCTGGCATATGATGCCGGGGCAGGTCCATGCCCGCAAAGCGGGATCCATAGACGCTGGTGGTGAACTCGTCCTGGTAGCTTGCAAGCTGCAGGGGAGGTCTCCGGGAAGCGCGGGAGCTCGTGGATTTCACCGAGGCGGCGTCCGAGTCGTCTCGGGCGCGGACGACCGAGAGGTGAGCCATGCTGTCGATGTAGGAGGGAGTGACAGCACCGTTGCCGTTGGACGTTGGGTGGTGACCGTTGGAGAAGTAGCCGTTGGAGTGGCCGTTTGTCTTGATGAGGTTTCCCTCGTCGTCTGTCTCGATCACGGCGGGTGAAGGAACCTCGTTAGGTTCCGTATTTTCGACAAGACTCATGATGGAAGAAGAAGAAGAAGAAAGAGGGGGACGAAGAGGGGAAGCTCTGGAGATAGGTACACCAAGGTAGCTGATTGTTTGCGTATGTGTGGCGTAGGGTTAGGAACTCTATCCGATGACGGCAAGCCGCAGATGGTAGTGGGGGATGGATGACAAGTCAGTTAAAAATTGACCTGAAAGGAGAAACTGTTTGTGCCTGGATGGAATGCTAAGAGCGGATGAGAGTGGGAATCAAGACTGAATGTGAAGGACGAGCCATGGACTTTTTAAACAAAAAGGGACTCAGCTCAGCTCAGAGGAAAATAATACGCAACGGGGAAAACAGCAGCAGCATGAGTGAGAATGGGTATGGGGCTTGACCGTCGTGCCTGAACCCGACCGAGTCTCTCCGTGCTTCGAGGCCATCCCAGACCATAGAGTCAACTGTGCGCAAGAGATCCATGTCCCAGTATGTCTCCTCCGTACCCAGTAATCCATCAAATCGAACAGTACCCAAGGTCCCTGTAGTACCGCTCGTACAGTACCGTCCCTTCTACCGCGCCACCGACCGCTGAGAGATACCCCCAGAATACATGACAACTACATGAGGACTTGCTCACTTTCAACTCCTTATTTCGCTGTACCTAACCATTCCCTCCCGGACAACCATTCGCCGGGGGACCAAGGACCCATGTCTCCCGCAACTTCTCGGTGATATTGGCTGACTTGGGCCTCCAAAACGACACACACCTACGCCTTACCTTGCCGTCCAATTCAGTCTCTCTCTCCTCGTCCCATATTCTCGCTATGCTTTAGACCGAAATCCCTCATATTCTTTTTACTCTGTTTCCTTCTACTTTCGGCCCGTGGCGGGCGGGCGGCCTCTATCCCCAGCAACGCCCCAACCCCAACCCCCCTTCGTGTCGGCTCACCTCACCTCACCTCACCCTCACCTTATGCCGACCAACCCAACCCCTTCGGGTCACCCACGCCCCCCGGGGACTTGATGCCGAAAGAGGATTACGGTCTTTCTCGTTTCGTCCTTTTGACGAAAAACATGCGCTCTTTTTTTTCTGTGTGTGTTTCGGCTTCTGGTCTCCGGAAAGCCGCAAGGGTCGGTGAGAGAAAGACGCATTTGCTAGGGTGTCCTCAAGGTAAGTAAAGGTGGCCGAGCATCCGATTTCCTCCACCTAGGATTTGTCCTTCTGGAAACAAGCCCCGGGTCAACCATACGGTGTGTCCCTTTGAACGTGTCATCAAGTTGTAGTTACCGTTACCGTCCATCGAAAGATCGGGAGACATTGCCCCCAAGGATGTGATCCCATTTGGCGATGGGGGGAATTTGTGACATACTACATAGAACGTAGCATAAAGAGATGTATCTGCATCGCCCCCGCCCCTTTTCCCCAGCTCCGAGTCGGTGTGAGATGGGGGATGAGACGGATGTTGTGCTTTCTTCCATCTGGGCGGGCGCATCTGGCGGGCGCTTCAACCTCGCAATGTGGGCACATCTACACGCTCCTATCTCGTGTTTTCTCACCTCCAATACCCTAGACAACTTTTTGTTCAAGACCAGGCAGGCAACATCACCAAGAGATCCTCTCCAGAGTTCCCAATGCTCTGGGACGACCTGCAGTGCAGAGGCGCCCCTTGCACTTACCCTGGGGCCCGCTCACCCCATATCTGTGGCATCAATGACGCAAGTTTGCAGAGCTCATGGCTGAGTCGATGGTCTTTTCCCTTGCTTTCTTTTGGTACCTCTTTTCTCCTGATACATCATCTCCTCAGAACTCTCCTCAACAGAGTTTATTCATGATCCTTTGTCTCCTCAAACCAACAATCGTCCCATAAACATAGCTATACACGTCTACAGGGCTGAGATGGGAAATATCGGGCACGGCAACCCGGGGCAACAAGGCCACCTCGCGGCCCAATCACGGAGGTTGCCGGCCGGCCGGCGGGGGACCCACCGGGGGTGTGAGCCGCCGAACGGGCAACATGGGTTATTGACGGGTTTACCTCTTCTTCACTGACCTCACCTTGGCCTGTTCTTTCTTTCTCACCGCGGTATTGAACAGGTAGTGTCTTCCGTTTGACCTTTGCGGAAGCGCATCTCTTCCGCAAGACCCATACGAACTAATACTGTACTCCTGTAGGAGACAGTCTCTCTGTCAACAAACGCCAACACATCAGTAACAAGTCCACTTGACAGACATCTCTTAAAATAACATTCCCAAGATTATTATACCACGTAGTTTAAAGTATCAAGTAGAAATCTACTCAGCCAAACGAATCAAGAAGAAAAAAGGGGCCTTGTTTCTCCGTGAGGTGCTTTACATCCCGAATAACCTGACATTTCCAAGTGGCGTGTCTTTTTTTCAACCGTCCGCAAATCCGTTTCCGCATTGAGAGGACATCGAAGAAAAGGAACAAGACCTAGAATATCCCTATACTGTACAGAGAGAGACATAAAATGCACTCCCCACAACCCAATCGGCCACCTCCCCGTTTTCGTCCCACCCCCAAGTTTGAGTTGGTGATGTTGCCTTGACCGGGGAGCCCGTCCTGTCCCTCACCGAGAATCAAACAACCCCTGACATCTGACGCAACGACCGCGCCGCCCCTTTTGTTCTAGGTACGTAGACAACTTTGCATTGATGATTACACGTGCGTCTCCCCAAATCCCATTGGATTAATCCCATTAATAGCCTGAAGCAATTCACACACACGCCCCCCAACCACGGCGTCTCCGTCCGTCTTCTTCTGCCTTGTTCAACTGCCTACCCCGGCTAATAACACCACTTGTTCCCGTTTTCCCGCGACGGTCCGTCCGGTTTTCAATGTCCGCGAACCAATCTCGTACTTCTAGATCGAATCGTCCATCTGCTGTTTTTCGCTTTTCGTCCCTGTTTTGAATCCTGGAACATAACAAAAGCGGTCAAAAACTGTTGAGAAAGAGATGAGACGTAACCGTCAGGGCCGTTGACTCGTGTTTCCAGACTGTATGCTCCCCTCGTCGTTTCAGCTACTCGGATCGTCTGGAATTCTTCTAGAAGCACATACTGCTTTTAGCTCACCGAGCTTTTCACACTGGGGTTCGGTCTCTGCGTTATCATAATGATCTACAGGACATACCCGTCTCCTAGGTCAAGACTACTGTCGTACATGCCCAATCATACCCAGCCGTGTCAGCCATTCCCGTAAGGGTCTCCCTTCTTTCTCTAACTGCCCAACATGCTAAAGCTACTCTTCGTGTCTTCGTGTAACCTTTCAAAGGTACTGTATATACATCCATGCCCTTCAACAGAAATCGTCAATCTCTCCAGCAACCCTCCCTAGCCATGTAGCTTGGGCCTCCAGACATTCCTTGGCTCCATAAATCGTTTCCCGCCGACGCAACCCAGACATCAATCAGGTTACGCATCATCCCGCTGCATGAACATCTCACCTCGACATCTAACCACCATCGCAAGATCCCATCCTCGGCGCCCGCAACTTTGTGTCCGAGATCCAACCTCTTGGACCCTCGCTGAGCAAAGCCTTGCCCTGCTTCAGCTTCCATGTTCCGAAATGGCCAATCTCGGGAACCCACCTGGCCTCTGCTTCAGTCGTCGTCTCCCATTCCCATCCCCGTCAGCCCGCTCGCCAGTCCCTGCATCCGTCGCCCTAGTAGATCGTCGGAGCTGTTGAGCTTGACGAGACTCTTGTTCTTGTTCTTGCTCTTGCTAAGACTTTTCTCCTTCTTCCGACGAATCCCGTTCTTCCCGTTCTTTTCCCCATTCACCTGTCCATTCGGCAATACCCGTGGTGTCGTGTTTCCACTCTCACTATCATCACCCTGTGCTGGTGTCGAGTATTGCTGCTTCGCTTGAGGTGGCGTCTGCGTTGAGTTCCTTCTCTGGTTCATCTTTGTCATGCTAATCTCGAGAGGCTTGTCTTCCTCTCCACTTGATTCTGTCCGAAGATGCCGTCCCTCGTCTCCATTGAGTCCGAAGCCATTGGATCTAGCCCTGTCTCTCTGAGACCGCCTCACCTTTTGCAGTCTCATAGCCTCGGCGTGCTCAAAGAGCTGATCAAACCAGTCGATACACCTCTCAAAGTGTCTCCACGCCGGCGGATATACAGTCGGGAACTGCATAAAGCCATGAGACGTTCCAGGGATCAGCATCACCTCGGCTGCATCCCGATCATTGAACTCCGCCTCCCTGTAGTCCCCACGGCCTCTTGCTGCAGATTGGTCCTGAGTGAACGCCGCCTCCTTGGCTCGCCGCAGTCTCCCCGCAAAGATGACGGTGTCGTCAACCAGCGGATCTCGCTCGCCAGTCATAAAATACGTCTTGGGAAAGTCGACCAGCAGGGCCTCGGGTGCCAGCACAGGGCTCAGGAGGTAGTCCTGCGAGAAATCGGGTCGGTTATGCGCCCCAATGTACAAGATGATCATGGCCCTCATCATCTCAGGGGTGAGGACCCTGTCGTTAAAGTACGAGATCATTGACGATGTAGCGAGCCTCGTCTTCATAGGCTCAACTTGATGAGATGAGTGCTTTCCGTTCGGCTCCGGAGTCTCCTTGGGCATACTCAGAGACCGAGGCCCAACGTGAGAGAACTCGGGGTGAGGACTGCGAGGCCCTTGAGAGTTTGCAATCAAAGCTTCTTGGGTTGTCAACAAACTCAGTTTAGGTGGTGGCGAACCATCCTCTTCATCATCAGAGTGGTGAGGTGTTCCCACGAGATCATTATACTGCATGCTCTTTCGACGCATGATGGTGCGATTCGTTCCTCTCATCTTGCGATCTCGAATCAACGACATTTGCTCATCCGTCATCCAGTTGCCGATATTCATATCCAGAGCAGGATAGAAGCAAACCAAACCATCTGGGGCTGGAAGCTCGGCTCTTCCCGAGGGTCTACGGAAAGCTGGATGTCTTGTCTCAAGAATCATGAGCGTTGCCGCAACAGCGAGGTTTCCTCCAGCACTGTCCCCTGTAATAATGACTCGGGGGACTTCCGTTCCAGGTAGGCCTACACATCTGCCCTTGGTGTTTACAATAGTGGTGTAAACGTCGAAGCATTCGTTTATAGCATAGGGGTATGGAAACTCGGGAGCCTTCTTGTAATCAAGACTGAGGACAGGCAATCCCGACTTTGCTGCCCAGGAGAACAACTTGTCGTCGTTGCATCGAGGGTCCATGGCAACGAAACCACCGCCAGGGATATCCAGGATCAACCTGTCATGACGCTCCAGCTCTGCCAGAGGTCCATCATAGTATAGCCATGCCAGCACAGGCTCCTTGTAGTCACTATCGGCGGGTCTCGGAATTCGGATCTGCCTCGGCGGCCAACGCATGAAACGGGGACGCATGAGCCCCTGGAAGAAGCTCAGATATGGGGACGTGCCCTTGTTCCAAGAGACGCGGAGGTGTTCGACGGTAATCATGCCCCTGACCTTGCGGACCTTTTCGTCGGCCTTTTCGGCTGCCACAAGATAAAAGAGGGAGAAGACTATGCTCGCCAAGTCGCGCAGCCACTTGGACCGGATCTTCATTGCCGTCCAGAAACCAGCGTCCAGGGCAGTGAGAACCCATGTGGCGCGGAAGTAGTTGGCGTCGTACATATTGGCCATGGGCTCCGGGCTAGCCAGGCCGACGAGGGCGCTGAAGTTACGGGCGGCGTATAGGTAGAGCATGGTGATGACAAAGGTCTGCCATGCCGTGAGTCGCTTAGAAAAGACCCTAGAGAGCATCTTGGCGCCGGGAGGACCATGCTTGTGGCCCCTGGGGTGCGTGTTAGCCGACAGTCGCGTGATATTACCCCACGGGGAGGGTAGGGAGCTGACGGGCTTACTTGACGAGGTAGGCAGACCAAAAGGTCAGGACGGCGAGAACCTGGAGACGTCGGGACTTGGCCGAAGGCCGCCCGAGGACGTGATCTATCATGATGACCAGACCAAGGTTTGATTTATCGTAGGTTTATCAGATGTCGTCGGTCGAATCTTCGGGGAGCTTTGATGACGAGACAAAGAAGGATCAAGAGAGGTCCAGGCGCATGTTGCTCAGGGCGGGAGAATCGGCCACGTTCACATGAAAGAACGATAACACGAGTCGACGTGGTCCAGAAACGGACGACAGGGGATAAATAGCTCCGAAGCCTCGGTCAGAGACGATACCACGAATCGAGATGTGGTTCTCGTGGTTGGACGATGAAGCGAGGTATAAGAACAGTCGAGAGGTGAGATTCAACTCAAAGAAGACACAAGAAGCATGAAAGAGAAAGACAAGGAGAGAAAAAAGACAAGGCAAAAATAAAATCAGCTGCGCCATCAAGGCGGGCTTCAATTGACATTGGTTCCATCGTCTTGTTCTACCAGGCTCAATTCGGCCGCACGAGCCGACGACTCGTGACTCGTGACAATAACGTTCCAGGTTTGAGTTGGAGCTGACTGACATGTGAAAGTGGAATGGAAAGTGTCAGACCAAAAAGTTGGAGTCGTCGACGAAACGCGGGGGACTTTGCGGGGCGTGATTGGGTCGTCATGACGTCGTATTGTCCGAAGCCCCGAGATAATTGAACTGCTTCTAGAAAGGCGTCTGAGGAAAGCATGAATTGAGTATTTTTCCGTCTGTCCTCGGGGAGACACATACTCTCCGTACCTGACGCTTCTCTCACGAGACCGAAGCCTCCTTTGTCACGACTCGTAAGCCAGACTGAAAAGGATCAAGGTAAGCCTCGATTCCCCCGACGGTAAGGAATGCATGGCATGGCGCTGCTAAATGCAGGGCACATGATTGATGGCTTGTGGCGGCACGTGTCTGTTCCCCGCAGATTCATAGCCTAGCACCCCAGTGGACATATCATGGGGTTCAAACGTTGGAGATGGCTTGTCTGTTGATGGAGAATTATTTTGAGTGTGTTGGCAGACGCGGTGCAACCTGGCTTTCTTTACATTCTCCCCTCTGATTTACTAAATATTCGATAGAATCGACATCGTTACGTTTAGTTACGGCGCTTGGTCAACCTCATTCCTTACATGTGGAGGTATAGGGTGACAACATCCTTGAGCTGAGTATTAATGTTAAGAAACTGTGGGTAGGGGAAGAGGATTAAAAGGTGTAGATTTTTGTAAGAAGGATAAATATTAAAATATTCCATCCTGTCCCTGTTTGCTAATTTCCGTAAGCCCAACATTAGGATGCAATAAATGACTGTGGAATGTATTTGGCCTCCTTCTGAGCATTGTGATCCTGGAGAGCAAGACCAGCACCACCGACATTGGGAGAGCACGAGCAGAACGATCTGACTGGGGGCTTCTCCCATACCGATTGATTGAAGAAAGAGCGAAAACAGGCACCCAACACAAAAAGAACATTTGCTCCGAGAAGCAAAAAATGGAGACTGAGGGATTTGAACCCCCGACCTTCTGCAAGCGCCGATGAAGATGCAAAGCAGACGTGATTCCCCTACACCAAATCCCCTGTTGTTGGGTGATGCTCGGGCCTCCAAATGCAACTCAAATGCCCGACCTCGCACTCCCTGACGACACATCACCACCGAGACCCTTGAGCTGTCATGGCCTTGAATGCTGACACGACATATGCCGACTTGTCTATCCTAAATCTTGATTCAACTTCTGATCACTTGGAAAGCACTTTGTGTTATTGTCTTGGTTCTATGACGGCTTCGACAGCCAGTCGGACCGAGTTAACAGAAACACTTACAGGGTCAGATGAGCTGAAGAGAACAGCACAGTTCTAACATACACCAAGAACTGTTTTGGAATAATTGGACCTAGATGTATTGGTGATTGCACTGATTCTCTGGTTTAATTGTGTCGGCTCGATGACATACATCCGAAACAGTGGCTCTGATCCTTATTTACCATCTTCACCACTCTCAGTCTATCAATTTTAGAGCAATCACTGGCTTAATTCAACACGAATCTAATGGTTTCAATTAACCACACAGATTTCTCCGTGCGGAAAGGTAAGCTGCCACGTCCAGGGTTCCCGCCCCTGTCACTTTGTTCCTCTTCGTGTATCAACCATCTCTTAACCGCTTAGAGGTTGCCGGCAACAAAGTCGGCAGCGGCCTGAGCATCCTGACCGTACTGCAAGTGAGCAGCAGTAATGACAAAAGAACCGGAGCAGACGCTGTCACCAGAACGGCAAAAGACCTTGCAGCGGCCCTCGTCAATGCCCTGGAAACTCTGGGACTTGACTAATTCACCGTATTAGCCTCTGTTTTCTCTGTTCTGAGTTGAGTGTCACTTACAGGGATCGCCAAAGGTGACGACGGCTGCAATCTTGCTGGTAGTAGCAGCAGGGAGGGACTTGGCCGCGTTATGGACGAGCATGGCTCCCTGGGAGTAACCCGAGAGAACGACCTTGGTGTTGGGACACTTCTTGTAAGCCTGCTCAACAACCGCCACCCTATCTCAAGGTTAGACCTGCTTCTACCGCAACCCCAAAAACTAGCCACTTACATCTTCTTGCCACCGTCAGAACCAAGATCCATGATACCCGCGATGCTGGCGGGGTACTCGACGCCCTGGACGGCGAGCTTGTCGCTTCCAATCTCCTTGGCGAGGGCCTGGAAGAAGGGAGGCCCCGCGACGCTGCCGACGTTGCCCATCTCCGAGGTGCCGCGGGCAAAGATGACGGTCACGTCCTTGCAGGCGCCCTCGAGGCCGTTCTGTGTAGAGCCAGAGAAGCCACTCTGTCGGGCCGCTAGGGGGCTTGCGGCGGCAAAGGGCGCCAGGGCGAGGAGGATGGTCTTTGTGAAAGAAGGCATATTGTGTTTATGTAGCTGTCGAAGCGAAAGGAAGTCTTGGAGTAGAAACGAATGTGTAAAGAAGCGAAAGTAAAGAAAAGGTTGAATTGGATTGTTGAGGTTGTCTACTATCAGCATGGCTTCGGTCTTATATGCTTTTTCATCCTTCAACGCTCAAGCCTTTCCCTCCATCATCCCAACCCTGATATCATGACAAACTCATCTTGAGTCCGCAAACTCTTCCCAAGAAGGAAATCCTTACGAATTCCCCATCAACCTCTCACAGCTCAGCCCTGCCAATAACCACCCCAGTCTTTAATACAGATCGAATAACTTCCCTGGTTGATGAGTTCAACCCCTTGTCGTGGCGTGGGGCCATATCATAGTGAAACGGGGGGCGGCGTTGCCAAGAGGGTCTGATGAAACGGCGGCCCCGGGGGGCTCGAGCTGAGGTTGAAACGACGTCTGTCGGTTTGGATGTGAATGTTTGTGCGTTTCTGTTTCATACAGAATGAAGAGTCCTGGACTATCTTTTGCTTCAATGGCAGCGGGAGATCCACGTCGAGGTAACATTCTTGGCGGGACGTTGAGATGGGGCCGGCCTCACCGGCGCGCTCTTGACAAAATCATCTCATGATTGGAGCCATGGCATGTGGAAGAAACAAAAAAAACAGGGAGATTCAAGGTAAAATGCATCTGTATAAAACAGCCCTTGATCGATGTTAGTTAATAATTGCCGTGTACAGTGCCTTTTCGGGCTAGCCATTCGAGGACGCATTGTTCACCACACAACCATGGTAGTTCACTCTGTGAAAAGTTCTTTGAAATGAAGTATACCCTAGTATTGTGATTCAGAAAGGAAAGAAGGCAAAAAGAGAATCTATCAAACTTCTACTTGATAGTCAGAAAGATGCAGCAGTGACACATCCACTCAGAAACCCATCGCTCCCATTCACATCCTACCCATGCTATTTATACAACAATTTGTTCATGCCAAATCAAGTGAATTCTCCCTCTTCCACCAAACTCCGTTCTTTCGGAGTTTTGCACTCTCCCAAATCCCGGTTTAGGACGTCGACTTGGTCGAGTCATCCTTTGCTGGAAGACTCTCGGCAACGTCGTCAGTCTTTTGCTCGGCAAGCCGGACACTGATGCCGGCGTGTTGAGCATAGACCCGTAGACCGATAACGCACACGGGATTCCATGGCTGCTTCTTGCGCTGCTTTCGAACTGAGCTGTCGTTGCTGTCGCCCTGCTCCGAATCATCATCATCAGATCCCGGCTCGCATTCCGACTCTGTGTCTGAACTGTCTGAACTGTTGGCTTCCTCGGAATGACCTTCGGTGGATGGTGTTGAAACGAGCTTCGACTCCGTACTTTGGCTCGTTGCGCTTCTTTCCATCAGGGGCGAGTTTGAGTCCTGCGAGGGCCTTCGTGACTCCCCTTCCTTCTTCTCCTCGACATTCTCCCATGTTTCTTTGTCCGATCCAGTCGGGGTCTCAGACTTGGCCTGATCTTCCACAGGGTCCTTGAACATGTCATCAGGCCAGAACCCAGGTGTCGGAATTCCCGACGTTGACAAACTTACCTTTCCCGACCCACCACTTACCTTCTCCAGGATCGCGTCGTCGTTGCTTTCAACTCCCTTGGTCTTCTCGCTCATGCAACTGTAGTACTCAGTCTTCTTTAGGACTAATGCCTCCTCGATTTTTCTCCTTGCGTCGTCCTTTTCTTTCTCCTCCTTCCGGGCTATCTCTTGTTTCCGGCTACTCTCCAGTTTTTCCTTCTTGTCGTTCTCCCGCTTTTTGCGAATAGCCTCATCCTCGTCCACAATCCCTCCCTTGGCATGCGCAAGATCATGCAACAGTCCGACTTGTTGAAGCTTACGGGGCTTCTTGTCTGCAGCTATCTTCACAACTTTTTGGACTGTGGGCCTAAACTCTGCGTGCTGGGCAACAATCTTGGGAATGACTTCGTAGGTCCCTGGCTCGAGTTCGACCTCGCAGTTGGTTGACCGTGCACTAGCTCTAGGGGTTGCTCGTGTCTGACAGATCGGCGTGGCATCATGGACAGATTTGAGAAGAAACTGAAGAACGAACCTATACTGCCCTTCGAGTCCGTTGAAATATCTCTTGTCAAGCTGATTGTGGTTAGTATTCAGCAAGAACTGTTGGTGAAGGGGAACCCACCTGTGATAGGGTGATGACCACAATGCCTTCTTCTTTGACCTCTATGATAAACTTCTTCTTGAGGTACCCAGAAAGCCATGGAACGTTGACGCTTGTCCACTGTTGAGCTACAGTCCATCGCTTATCAAAGACTCGGGTCCGATGGATCCAGACAAAGTTGTCAAGCATGTCGTTGTAAGACATCCACCAGGAACCATCGTCACCAAACCGATACCGCAACTTCTGGATCATGTGCGAAGTCCACTCTTTGGACCCATCTGACCAAGGCCCATGCCAGGCCCCTTGGCCTCTGTAGTTTCTGCCCCCCCAGGGATTCCTACAAACGGTTAATATGAATGTTTAGAGGCAGAAATCTCAATGGAAGGGCGTACCGAATCTTGACCAGGCGGACCTTCTCACCCCTTTCGTCTTCAACCTCAGTCGCCTTGAGAACAGAATATGCATGGCACTGAACGATGCCATTGTTACAATCTGTCCCTGGACGCATCGCGGATAGGCTGAAGACGAACTCCGAGTCCTCGGTATCGGACACCAACATCTCACGCCAGAGCCGGTCCTTGCGAAGCACGCTGTTTGCCTGCATCATAGTGGCGACACCACCAGTAAGGTCTTCGACAGCGAGGCATGACCATCCACCCTCCAAGGCCTCGTAGTCGCCGTGAACCTTGGCAAACTAGGCCTAATCAGTTGTTGTCGTGTGTATTAAAGGGAGTTACTTACTGCTTTCTCAAGCAAGGGGAACCAAGTCTCATTGGCGTCCTCACACTTGGCAAAGGCCAGAGAGTCGGAGCCCGTCTGTTTCTCCCTTTTGTGACGTCGTTCATGCTTGCCGGTTGCATCATAAGTCTCGTTTGTGTGCCCATAGTCCTTTTCCTTGAGGTACAGATTGTCGTCTACAACTGTCGGAATCCACTCCCCGTCCCGGAAGAAGACGAATCCGTAGACACCGCATTCCTCATTTTGTTCAACACAAATCTTCTTCATCAGGTCTTGCCGGTGTGCGATCGTGGCCAAGGCAGCCACCCACCAGCAGTTGCCCAGATGACCCTGCTTGATGTCTGAGCCCGAATAGCCACCGATGGTGAACTGAGGATTCTCAAAAATCCACGGGATACGGTGAACTGAGCCAGGTATGTAATCGGGATCAGGGTCGGGACTATTCTTGGATAGGGTTCTCCAAAGGCTCCAAATATCGACCTCAAGGGTGTTGCTTGACAAGATCCCACTGTTCTTGAAGAATTCAAGAGACTTCTCAAGTGTCTGGGTGTTGACCACATCATCATCACATCCAGTAGGGTTGAGACCGCCATCGCCTTCTAGAGTGAGGTTATGGAGGAGGCCAAAGAGGCAGTCGTAGTTGCGCCCTCTGGAATCCAACTCGATATCAAACTCGGGATCACTAAACTTGGAGTTGGTGCGCTCACACTCCTTGACGATGGCGCGAACTCGATCCTTGCATTGTTGAGCAGCGGCCTCGTAGCTTTGTGCAGCGTTGCGCGACTTGGGAATTGACGAGTCGGCATCTGCGAGAAGGGACTTGTGCAGGCTCCGAGGGAAAACGGAAGTGACTTTGCCCGGAGCCTTGGAGTTGAACTTGTCCCAGAACTTGGACACGACAGCTTGAGGACTGAGAGCTTGGTGCTTGGTCTTTTTTTCATTGGAGGCCTTGGTAGATGATTTAGTCGACTTTGCCATGGTGTTCAAGTTGAGCGACTTGGACAAGGAGATGGTTCAGGTTGGATTTGGCAACTTGGTAAAAGAATGCTTCTTTCGGAAGAACTGTAAAGAGGGATGGTTTAAGTCCCAGAAGCTTTCCATGAAGAAGCAAACTTGGTTCTTATAGACAGAAGATATAGCTTGAGGAAGTCACCTGTCGCCCAGCTTGGCTTGGATTCAGTTCACCAAGAAGTCGGGCGTAACATAAGGATGTCGCACATGCCGTCGGGCAAAAGCATGTCGCCTAGGTTGAAGAGTGAATGGTCACTTAGATGAGCCGAGATGGTCGAGTTGCTGACACTTGCAGCCGGTGATGAGACCGCACAAGGTTGGATCCAGGGTGTCCTGTGGTGTTGCAACAGGCAGCCTAATAACAAGTCACAGGGCGATGACTGGAAACGCTCTGCGGTCACGAGCCATTTTTGACGACCTTGGCAAATAGATGAATCGCCAATATGCATTGTCATGAGATATAGAAGAGATGTCGAGGCACGTCGCTCATTTTGGAGGTTGAAAATGTAGATATGACTGCAGGGACGTTACTTGTGCTGTGTTACCTGTGGGGGTTAATGAAAGCCACACAGACAAGGGTTGCCTTCTGGGACTGACAACCATGTTGCCTTACGCTTGGTTGATTGGAGATGTGGGCGTGCAGTGCTGATATTTTCCTACCCTTCTAAATCGCATGGATGCGGGCGCAAGGGTTAAGACGAGGCGAACATGGACGCTTCTGATCGCTCAACTTTGCCGTAAACCAGTGAAGATGGCATCTAAGTCAGCTTCAGCTTCATTTCGTCGGTAGGCTGCGAGAGCCATTGAAGTCGGGCGTAACGAGGGAGAAAATGGAAACGACCGGAGATGAAGGAGGGGAGAAGAGGACGGTTGAGCCGCGGTGTGATGGAAGGACTCGATGTTACGGGACTCAAGAGGAAACCGCTTTGGGGGCACCTGCCGTCGTTGCTTGATGCTTCAGTGTCCACCACACCTTTAGATGCCAGATTAATACAACCCTTTTTCAACTCCAAGACCTTTTTAAAGCAGTCATTTAAAGACAATTGGCATCTTTGTATCCTTGGACTTACTCCAAGTATTATTTTTCGCTTGATCCTGCTGAGATAGGGAGTTCAATTACCCAGATACCAAGGAAGAATCTCGTGAAGAACAATAGAATTAGATACGTATCAATGAGGGATTGCAAGCTATCCACCGGGAAGATAACACAATGGAAACACGATACACAGACAGCTCGGGCTTTATATCAAAGTCATACACGGTGGTGACAGGTGCCCCAGTCAACCTAGACCGTCAACGGTGCGCCAAAGGCGGAAACGGAAAGGGTTCCTGGGGCAAGTGCACGGCTTGGCTTGCCGAGAACTGGGGCAAGATGATGTAATTGACAAAAAAAAAACAAGAAGGGACGAAGAGGCCGGACCCTGAAGACGCCAACATATTTCATTGCCAGGTGCCCAATACCTCTGAACAATCATTAACAAGAATGTCCTGATAAGATTCACCTAAAGCCATTCATGGCGCCCCTTTAATTCTTTAATCACCCTCCCTGTCCATCCTACGAATAATCATCCCTGCTCTGAATAACCTCTCCTGTGTCGCGGTTCTTTTGTCGACCCCGCCACAATGCGACCTTCGGCCCTATCCGCACTATCTTATCACCTCATGGTCCCCGGCTTTTCCTCCACCTCAAGTTGATCTGCCCATCCATCGAGATCTTCATTCCTCTCTTCCCTCATTCATCAACTCCCCGCACATGAGCGTCATCGCGACGTCGCCCGAATTCTGTACATGTCTCGACCCGACAACCTCAAAACACAGAGTTAAACGGCCTGAATCGTCGTCTGCTCCTGTTTAAGCTGGAGCTGCTCGAAACCCAACCTCTACTGCCATGGCGACGACTCCACCAACGGTTCCCGAACCCGAGCAGCCGACTCCCACCTCTCCGACTGTCGCTACAACCTCTGCGGTTCTTTTGACGTCCGCGTCTGAATCGAGTGACGATGGTATCCGCTTGAGTCCTGCCGCTGCTCGTCGGTTTGCTCGTCGCAACCTCCGTCGTACATCACCAACTCCCGATCTTGTCACAAGCCTCGTTCGACCGCCGTCGCCTGATGCAATTTATTTTGGGGCCCAAGTCGCCCAGCAGGCTCGGCAGGATATCAGGAATAGGCTTGATGTCTCATCTGCTTCGGGCTTGTTGATACCAAATGTCAACTCGGATCGCCGTTCCGGGCCCTTGCTGCCGCCCCATCCTTCTTCCCTCGGCATCCCCAAGCGATATGGTGGAAACGGCATCTTCGACATGTACTCCCTGGCATATGTCACCGAACCGGACCCCAACCTTCTCTGTCCCATCTGTCACGATCCGCTTGTCGACCCCGTGACGACTCCTTGCGACCACACGTTTTGCTATCTCTGTTTGCGCCAGAGCATTGACTCAAGTCCGTCTGGCACCGCCTGTCCCATCGACCGAGAGCCGCTAGCATGGCCAAACTGCTTTAGTGCACCACGACTTGTGCGCACACAGCTTAACAATCTCAAAGTCAAGTGCCCATACCATGCGAGAGGATGCAAGTCAGAGGTTCGCCGGGAGGTGGTCGAGATCCATGCCACCACAGAGTGTCGGTTCAAGGACTTTACTTGTCCCGGCACCGACTGTGACAAGAGGCTGCGATCAAAGCCAACAGATGATGTCTGCCCTCATCACGAGACCAAGTGTTCCCACTGCAAGACCTCATTTGAGACGACCGATCGGGACTTGCATCTTCTAGCATGCCCCATGAGCAAGACCCGCTGCGAGGGCTGTTGGAAGCTTGTCTATCGGAGTCAGATGGAGACACATCGCGATCTGGAGTGCGAAGGTGTTGTTGTTAACTGTCCCTATGATGAGCTAGGCTGCCCTGCAAGGGCTCTGCGTGGACAGATGGACATTCACACCTTGGGTTGCGCATTTCACCCCGACACTCCATCCGGCATGATAATCCGATCTCAGCGGGAACTTATCCAGTCTTACGGTGACCTCGGACAACAGATCCAACAATTAAATTCCCGCCAGGACGAAACAAGCCGGCGGCTCAACGAGATCAACTCATCCCTCAGCCGCCGAGGCACAGATGACTCCGTAGTAGGAGACAACCGCACTATCCAGGACCTGGATGCTGGCTTCGAAGAAGTCCACCAGAATTTGACCCATCTCGAGGCCCGGCAAAGTATGTGGACAATCAACCAAATCATGCCTATCCGCGAGGAGGTGACTGAACTACGAAATAATATTAACATGATCCGAATGCATGTTAACTGGCTCCTGAACCGGAGTCGAGAGGAAGGTCGCATTAGAGCCGCCAACAACTCTGGGTCAGCATCAACCATACAGCGAGACAGGTCAATGGAAGGCCCCCGTCTGTCGGAGCGCCGCCGCTCAGCCAGCGCCGAAGGGGCCGATCTACCTCGACTATGAGAGAGACAAGAAGTGCTCCATTCTTTTGCCCTTTTTTTTTTTTCTGGCGTAATAAGGTTCGGGATACCCCTAGCATATACACAGGCATGGTGGGAAAACAATAGGAATTATGGTGTACATAAGTATTAAAATTTTGTAAATTCTTATAGAGCTGGACAATCAAGCAAGTATGGTTATGATACTCGAGGGTAGGTCTCGTTTCGCTGTGACTACCCATCTGAACTGAACAAAGTTACGTCGTCAATGTCAAGAACCAAAGGTTCCGTTCTGACGTCAGCAGAGAAGAGACCTAAGTATAAGCAGTGATCCTTTGCTATTCCGAAGACGCGAACTGGCGATATCTCCGATGGTAGTTGAAGGCGAAAGTCAAGCTTATTAGAAATTCCGTCCACGGAGCCGAATGCGGGTGGGCATTCAGACCGGAGCGGAGTTTACCTTCTTTCTGCGGAGTTTGGGCATTTGCTTCTCAACACGGAACTACCTTTTTAACTCACTCTTGGATTATTATCATCGTTTATTGAGGATTCAAAAGAAGTAGTAAAGACGTTGACCACTATTCGGCCCAAGGCAGATTTCAAATACATCCATCCGTCTATTGGCTCGTCTTCCTTCTTCCAGGGCATTCCACGTCCTCAAGAAACCCGACGGCACAGGCAGCTACCCGCCGCTACAGCCTATCCAACACGCTAGGCTCCAGCGCCACACACAGGGGACCAGTCACTGAACTACAGCGCGTGCAGCCTCACCGCCCCGCGTTGGGTGCTGTCCATCCCGTGGCTACCTGGTTTCCCCCACTATTACCAAGCTGCCCGCCCTCCATCATCACTTCCCTCTATCCATATCTATCTGCCATCTGTGAGGCTCGGGTCCACACAGACCTCCCACCTCAACTTCAGCCTCGTCATCCATATTGCACTTCTCCTGCACCATCTTTCTTTATTCCCCCTCTTTCTCATCGTTGCATTTTAATCGACGTCGGAGAACGCCGCAATGGACCCCAACGAACAGCCTTCGTGGGCTGGCGGCGATGCCCCAGACAAGGAGAAGATGGAACAGGCAAGTTAACTTCATGCACCGATGGAGCTCATGATGGACTTGCTGTTAACGTGCAAGGTTCAGATCCGTGCTAGACGCCTGGCCAAGCTGGGAACTTCGACTCCTGCTTCAACCAAGTCGGACGAGAACAAGGCTCCAGACTCCGAATCGTCGAACCCGTCACGCACGTCGACGCCGAAGCCGCAGACCACCTCGACCGACTCACCACGATCCAAGATCAACATCACCCCCTCCGCGCCTTCCTCGAGCTCCGCCGCGAACCCCTTCACCAAGCTAGTGGCCAGGACTGAGAACCAGAGCGAGCCGTCAAGCTCAACAGGTAGCTTCCGTGTGAATCGTAAGAGACAGGCTTCTGAGATTGACGACGCTGTTCCAGCGGGCCGACCCTCTCCACGCCCTTCCAACTCTCAACCCGAGTCCGACGAGGCCTATGCCGACCGAGTCCTGTCCCAGATCTTTCGCATCACTGTGGACCCGCACAACATGTCCAGTCACGGACACAGGCTGGTGTTCCTCCCAAACCTGAACCAGGAGCTCAACGACTCTGGAGAGCCCTTGAAGCTTTCAGCCGCTTCTTTGGATCAAGCGCTCATGGAGGCGGCTGGAGCATGGCCTCAGGATAAGCCCCTCATGAACTACTTCTTGCCTTGCTGGAAGCGGGCTGTGAAAGCAGCTACTCAATTCAAGGCCACAGAGGGACCCCGGTTCGAGGTGCATAGCGAAGCAAAACGGCTGTGCATGAGCAACTGCCTGTTCGCTTTGACTATGCCGGATCTATACGGGTGAGTTGAGCTTTAACTCTGCGGAAGTTAACCCTAACAGGCATGTGTAGACGTGACCCAGACCCAAGGCATGACACACTTGTGCCGTACCTTCTGAAGGGTGTTCTGGACGACAATGGCCTATGCTTTAACTTCATCCAGGAAGCTATTAAGCGGTTTGACGACGATGACGCCATCCCCGCCCTGTTCAACGATGCCATGGTTCAGATCTCAAGTAAACTGGGAGCCTTGTCCATGAATAGCGATTACAAGCCATACGTCCAGGTGCGCCCCATGAATGAAGTGCCGTCAAATGCACGGCCGTAGCTCTGACATGGTTGATAGGCGATGCTTACATATGCGCGATTCCCACGTCTCATCGTTAACTTGGCCAAACACCCTTGCTTTAACATGGCACAGAGCGCCCCTGGTATCGAGAAGCACACTCTTCTCGGCCCCTTTTTCCGCCTCTCACCTCTCCAGGGCGAGGCTGTGAAGAGCTACTTCCCTGATCCCCGGGCCATTGAGAAGAACAAGATCAGTCTCGCACAAGATGCCCTCCGCATGGTGTTGCGAGCACACCAGGATGATCTCTTTGTGATTACAAACGCCTTCATCCGAGCGGGCGCTGATACTCGATCTCGGACATTGGACTGGTTTGCTTACATCATGAATACAAACCACAAGAGGAGGGGCATGCGGGTTGATCCTAGGGAGGTTGCCTCAGATGGATTCATGATCAACGTGACAACGATTCTGGACCGATTCTGCGAACCTTTCATGGATAACGACTTCAGCAAGGTGGACAAGATTGACGACGACTACTTCAGAAAACAGCCGCGAGTGGACATCAAGGATGAGACAAAGATCAATGCCGACCAAGCCCACTCGGACAACTTCTACGCTAACAAGGTGCCTGGCGAGGCCAACTTTATCTCGGAGGCCTTCTTTCTCACTCTTGCGGCACATCACTATGGAAGCGAAGCCTGCAACTCACAGCTCAAGGGCCTAGATCGGGACCTCCGGTATTTTGAGGGTCGCATCGAAGCGATGGAGGCGGAGCGTCCCAGGATGGCCAACGTTCCTGATCAGGCGCAGCGGCTAGAGGCAGCCATTGCAGCCCACGTAAGGACGCTGGAGAATGCTATCAGCAAGAAATATGCTATCGAGGGTGTGCTGCTTGACGAGCGGATGCAGAGTACGTCTTTGCGTTTCATGCGATATGTGGCCGTCTGGTTGCTGCGTCTGGTGACTCGATCCAAGTACAAGCCTGGTTTGGAATCGTCAGAGATTAAGTATGTAATGTCTTTTCTGGCGCCTTTACCATATGCTAATATGTTAGGCTTCCTCTTCCTGCTGAGCAATCAGATGTGTTTTCATGCTTGCCGGAATACACTCTCCAGAACATCGTGGACAATTTCACTTTCCTCTTCAAGTGAGTGTTTCCGTTATATACATGCCTCAGCTAGACTGACAGGTTCCAGATGGATTCCCAAGATTCTTCCTAGCGCGATTGGAGATGAGATGATTGCGCTCTGCGTGACATTCCTTCGTTCAACTGAGTACATCAAGAACCCCTACTTGAAGTCGTCATTGGTTTCTTTGCTCTTCTCATCCACCTGGCCCCTGATGCACCTGAAGCGTGGTGTGCTCGGTGACCAGCTTGTTGGCAGCAAGTTCGCCAATGAGCACCTTTTGCGAGGATTGATGAGGTTCTATATCGAGTGCGAGTCAACAGGCGCCGACTCTGCCTTTTACGACAAGTTCAACATCCGATATGAGATCTTCCAGGTGATCAAGTGTGTTTGGGTGAATGACCACTACAAGCGCCAGTTGGCACAGGAGAGCAAGTGAGTTTTCGCAGGCTAAATTAGCTGTGTTGGTGGCTAACAAGGTTAAAGGGTCAACAAGCAGTTCTTTGTTCAGTTCGTTCACATGTTGTTGAATGATGCCATTTACGTCCTGGATGAAGCTCTCACAAAGCTCACTAAAATCAGGAGCCTCGAGAGGGAACTTGAGGACCGGTTCCTTCCCCCAGAGGATCGCCAGAAGAAGGACGAGGAGCTCCAGCAACTTGCTAACACGGCCAAGTCGTTTATGCAACTGTCCAACGAGACGCTCGAGATGATGAAGCTCTTCACCGAGGCTATGGGTGAAGCCTTTACCATGCCTGAGATCGTGTCCCGTTTGGCAGGCATGCTCAACTACAACCTCGAAACGCTTGCTGGTAAGAAGGCGGCTGCCGAGCTCAGCGTCTCCAACAAGGAGAAGTACCACTTCCGTCCTGTCCAGATCATCTCGGACATTGTTGATATCTACCTCAACTTGGAAGATTCGAGCGTCTTCATCGACGCTGTTGCTGCCGACGGACGCTCCTACAACCCTGAGGTGCTCAACCGCGTCAGCCAGATCCTGACATCCAAGCACCAGAAGGATCGGGCCGAGATTGCCCGCTGGGACAAGCTCAAGCTCAAGTTTATCGACGCCAAGCTCCAGCTCGACCAGGCCGATCTGGACCTAGGAGAGATCCCGGCCGATTTCGAGGACCCCATCATGGGCGACCTCATGACGGACCCTGTGCTGCTGCCCAGCAGGCACATCGTGGACCGTTCCACCATTGTGCAGCACCTGCTGAGTGATCGCAAGGACCCCTTCACTAGGCAGCCCATGACCATTGAGGATGCCATCCCGCAGCCAGAGCTGAAGGAAAAGATTTTGCAGTGGCGCGATGAGAAGATAAAGGCGGCTAGGGAGAAGATGAAGAGCGAGGCTATGGACACTACTGAGGGTTAGAAGGGTTGTCTTTAAGGGGGCTAATGAGTGCATGAGGCTGTTTATGGGGGCTCATCGAAGGATGGATGGATGCATATTTGGCTTTGATTTTTCTACCATGGGTTTCCACAGCGCAGGAGGAAAGGGGGATGGACCCGGCGCGGGGAAGCGGTTTACGACTCAGTGATAAGAACAGACAAACAGACCAGATTATGTATGTGTATGCCGAGTTGCGGTCCACGGACCGTGACACATGACCAAGTAGATCTTGATGCTTTCTTCAATATGCAATCACCAGCGTTGTCTATGGATCATGTCACCATTTCTCTATCTCGTCAACTATTCTTCAGCTATAAGTTCTCCAGCCGATCCTGGGTATCTCCAACACAGCCCCCTGACTCCTATCCGATCGCACCAAATGCAGTCACTTATGCTTCCACAGCCTTCTCCCCCTTGAACTTGGTGACGACCTGCTCAATCTCCTTCAAAATCACTGCCTTGCGCTCATCGGCACACCAGGCTTCCTCCACGCCACCACGAACAATCCACGCCCAGTCTTCGATAGACAAGTTAAAAGTGTCCTGCACACGACAGTAGACCTCCTGAATGTAGGCACCAAAGTAAGCCGGGTCGTCGCTGTTGACACTGAAGCGAACGCCAGCATCAAGGAATTTGCGCACAGGGGCATCAGCGAGGCTGGGCAGGTTGCAGAGGGCAACGTTGGACCAGGGGCAAAAGGTCAGAAGAGTCCGGTTCGCGGCGAGGGATGCCAGAAGCTCTGGATCTTGAGCAGCAGCAAGACCGTGGTCGATACGCGTGACGCCCAGGTGCTCCAGAGAGGCCGTGATAAACGAAGGGGGTGCCTCCTCGCCAGCGTGCGTAGTGAGGTGCGTACCCGTTTTGGCGACACGGGCAAAGACGTCGGTGAAGAGCTCAGGCGGGTTGTCCTTTTCGCTCGAGACCATTCCAAAGCCCGTCAGAGTGCCATCAGTAAAGTGCCCGCGCTCGAGAAGAGTGTCAACAAGAGCGTGAGACTCGGGGACCGGGAGATGACGAAGGATGCAGACAATCAACTCAACCGTGATGTCCAGCTCCTTTTCAGCGCGGCGCTTGGCCGCTGTGAGGCCCGCGATGACAGTATCGTAACTGACCCCACGAGCAATATGAGCTTGAGGGTCGAAAAAGATTTCAGCATGGCGGACCTTTTCTCCTGCAGCTTTGCAAAAGTAGGCCCATGCAAGACTCTCAAAATCCTGCTCCGTGATGAGCACACTCATACCCAGATAGTAGTAGTGCAAAAAGTCATCGAGGCAGGTGAAGCGTCCATATCGCTCGCGCAGCTTCTCAGGGGAAGCATAGACGGGATCATCGGGAAGAGAAATTCCATTCTTTTCAGCGAGCGAGAAGAGGAGCTCAGGCTCTAGGGTGCCCTCGATATGGAGGTGCTGCTCAACCTTTGGAAGAGCGATGAGGAAATCGTGAAGCGGGGATTTGCACATTTTTTTATGCCTGAAAACACGGCCACTTGTCGTATGATGCCCTGATAAAAAGATTTGGTGCTTATGGCTCGCTTGAAGCCTTTTGAGTGAGCTTATTGCGTCGTTCCAATTTGGTTGTGATGGTAACCCAAAAACTCCCCAAGTGTGCGTCAATATCCTCGTTCAAGCAAAAGCCCCGACAAGATTGTGCGCTCGTGACCAGATCGATTTTTGATAACTCGTTAAGCTCGAACGATGATTAGACTCCCACGGTCCGATAGGAGGAAGCACGGCCGCGGGAGCACCCGGCCCCGTTACAATCATGGCAGTATGTCCGGAGCATACTGTAGGTAGTCAGAGTTGAGCTGAGATGGTGGACGAGATGCTTTACAAGTTCCTGGATAAGAAACGTGGCCCGTCTTCTGGCTGAATTCCGCCTAGAAACATGGAACGTCTGTGGGTAGGCTCTCGGGAACTAAGCAACGTGTGAATATCGTCACCACGTTGTAGGGCGTTGCAATCACAAGCCTTCAACGTTGTGGCTTGGGCTGGGCCAGGGCTCTGGAACGATGTGTCGTCCGCAGCTAGAAGGGCGGCGCCTCTCGTTGGCGCTGGAACCAGTGCCGAAATCTCTCATTGCTTCTTCCAACTGATCATCGCTTCAAGCGCTGACGGCCGCGTCTAGTCCGAGTCTAGTGGTTACCACATGTCGCTATGCAGCATATGCTGGGGCACATGCACAATTGAATCACCGTCGCAATCCTAGGCTTGAAACTGAGCGAGCCTCGCCAGAATCCACCTGAGTGAGATCCTTGGGATGCGCCAGAGCCTGAGATGGATGGTTGGCCCACTCCCACACGACGAGGAGGATTCCTTCCTGTCGTTCCCGCCCCAGACCGAGACCCAGGGACCAAACCCATCTTCGAGGCTTGCACCAACCCAACTGCAACTGGGCTGGGCTGGGGTGCTACTGCACTGTATGTACCAACCAGCAGCGCCTCACCCTGTATCCATCGACTCCTATCGTGCCATGCCATGCCGACGGGTCGTCTTCTGGACCCAGGGGATCCAGGGACAAGGGACAGGGCGCAAAAAGCAAACCACCAACAAGGGCAAACATTCCCGTTCCGACACCCGCGCAAAAAGTAAAACTGTCCCCTTCCCGGGAGCGCACATCGGACGGAGGCAGGCCAAGGTGACAATGGCTTGCCGGGTATTAACAGTGCATGCGGTGCGGTGTTGTGCTGTGCTGTGCTGTGCTGTGCTGTACGGCTGCGGCGAGTCAAGTCGCTCATTCACATCTCAGATGCGAGAACGCCCTTACTCGAGTTGAGCCCTCGGCCGGCTAGCGTCAAGCAGTAAGTGCAGAGATACGTCCCCGAAGCTGCGTCCCGCCCTTCCTTCGCTTCTTGCCGGACACCGCCGCTCCGGATTCCATTGAAAGCACCTCTTGGTTGACCCCACAAGAGGGCTTGGCCCCTTCCGTTGGTCGCCGGATCGGCCGCTGTCTTGAGTCGTCATGGTTGGGCGGGACTGTGATCTGACGGGTAAAGGATCAACAGAACACCACGAGCTGTTCCTTGGCGAGCCTGTCTCGTCCTCTGTTAGTCGAAGCTTGACGACCGAAATAAACTAGATCCCGGCCTTGTCAGTCACCATGTCCTTGCCCTGCCATGCCCTGTTCTGCCCTGCCCCAAGCCATCCAAGCATCACGAGGCACGATGTAACAACGCCGTTGTTAGAAGCAGCAGCAGCCCGGTCAGGAGCGAGGAATGGTCGCTCAAGGCACCCGCTTCAGAGGCTTGATGCTAAGGTAGCCCGTCCTGCCGCCATTCCGATTCATCGTCTCCTGAACATGGGTCATGAGCGTATACATGGGATGGGGCATGAGGGGATTGAGAGTGAGCAAGCAAGCAAGCAAGCAAGCAACTCATTCACTCAGTCGATAGTAGCAGCATTAGCACCAGCAGTATCAAGCAAGCACCCACTGGGATCGAAAGATCTCGGCTCGTCGTCCCCCACAAGCCACATGCGCGCGCACGCGAGTCGCGGAATTCCTGCCAACTTCCCCCTCTGGTCCTTGATTCGTCTCGGTTTCGGGCGAGCACATAACCTCATTGCTGATCCGCCTACCCGTGCAAGGGTGCGAATCGGAACGGCTCCCATGATCGGTACCAGACGCATGGAGATTCACGACATCTGCGTCGCGTGGCATACACTTGTGCTGCCTCCATACATAAGAATAAGCAAGTCTGCCCTCTTGACTGGACTCGCGCACTCATATCTGCTCGGGGCTGGCTGAAGTGCGGGCATGTTCGGACAGCTTTCAACAATCTGTGGGTGCCCAGTATAACGTAAGAGTGAATATGGAACATGCCGCCTCCTCCCCATCTTTTTCAACGACTCTGCGCTGCACGGCTCGGTTTCAGGCATTGCGGGGGTTGGCGGGATTTGTACCGCTGTGGTGATATCGAGGAACGAGATCCGTGCCATCGTTGAGCATGTGTCGTCGGGGCGTGGGCCTGGAGTATCATGTCCTCGGGATGCCATTCTTCGATTGCTGCTATCGAGTGCCGAGTAACAAGGGAATCGAATTCCACCGTGTTGGCCAGGACTCATCTCAGACCAACCCCCACGAAGCCATAAGCATGTTGGAGGCTCAACCTTTGTTTCTCAGTGTTGTCAAGAGCTGGCAGTTGCTTTCGGTATTCCAGCTGATAATCCACTGATCGTCCAAGTAATTTGGCGCTCGCCGAGAAGTAGCAGACCACTGGCGTACTGTAGACCCCAATCCTGATGGGATTCCCTTTGAGGACTAGTCCTGACACCTTCGTAGTGGCGCCATCTGGTTCATCCTCTGGCCTCAGCAAGCGGTACGGATACCTATAGCGGCCCATCTTATCATATGTCTGGGCCGTGCTCTGTCGATCTCACGATTGCGAACCGGCAACTTCAACCTCGGAACCCGGTTCTGGCAACTCAGTCGCCCAAGCCATCAAGAGCAGCTTCTGTCTCATGTCCACTCGAGCCGGCCGACATCGCGGTCGGTCTCTGTCGAAAGGGGCTATACACGTTAGGCCCAGGATCTGTTCACGGAGCTCGTTTTGCGAGCTTGGGCCATGTGGAACAGCGTACGTAAGCTCGTGGATTTAAACAAGCCTGCAACGTGCTGCGGGAAGTGGGAGCTGCGTGGAAATCAAGCCCGGTCAAGAAGCGGAGGGAGACCATCCCAGCCATTGACGGCTAGAATGTCTCAGGAAACGACTAGCGCACAAACACCCGGCGGAGACTAATAAGCGGAGGTCGACAGGACCAAGCTCTGTCGGCAGTTCTTCTGGAGCGCGGGTTGACAGCAAGCGACTGATAATCGCTCGGGGTTTCCAGATGCCCGGAACTATTGCCCCCTTTGCTCTCGTCAGAACTCTTTCTCTTGCACATGAATGCCGCTGTTTCGGGAAACCGTGCTATTTTGTTGAGAATCTCCCTCGGTGGATGCATGTGCATTAGGGTCCTGCGATGGAGATTAACGCGGGCACACACAGC